TAGCTAATGGGCCTGTTATTTCTTTTGCTAGTTCTCTTTATGTTACTGCCTAGTTGGCCGCCCACTTAAGGGTATACTTGTAATTATGTTAAGATTGAAGTTTAGTAAAAGGATTAGAGAAGGGAGGGAAGAGACATTCGAACTCTTCTTCTTCTTCCTCCTCTTTTCTCCATCTTCCTTCTCTCGTACTGCTGTTATCTTCTTTTCTTCCTCTTTTTTTCTAATTTTTCCCAAGTTTACATCAGATTCAGAGGACTGATTTACATCTCATAATAATCACGAAACCTTTCCTTATCTGACCTCTTGGCTTCTCAGAAGAAGATACCCTTGTCTATCCAGCAAGCCGGGCAAAACATTCTGGAGATAGACCTTGTAAAGAAAGTTCATAAATTCTAATTATATGCACATTCTAGCAGAGTCCATTGGAAAAGCACATTGTCCATCCAAAATTTTCTCTTTTTTTTTTCTTTTCTTGGGCAGAACCTCATCTGTGGATAAAATACCAGTTAATTGGTGGAAATTTTCTGAATGGCTGCACCTTATGTTCGCAAGCAGAAGAAAAAAAAAACTATTGATTCATTGCTAAAGTTGAGTCAGTTTGATGTGTCTATGTGTGATCTTATTCTTTGTAAGTACACAAATTTATTTGGGACATGGATGAGCATGTGTAAGTTTTTAGGTTGAATGATTCCTTGAGATGGTATCAGAGCCTATTTTGACCAAGTGGTCTGGTGTTTGATCCCCATTGCCCTCATTATAATTAATTAAATTTCAGCACAAGGTATGGGTGGGCAACTGGGCATGTGCTTGTCCACACTTCATGTCCAATCGGCTTTTGTGTGAGGGGGTGTGTTAAACAATAAACACCTATTCAGGTACCTCACCTAACAGCTTAAGCTTTTAGGTTGAATGGTTCCTTGATATGGTATCAAAGCCTATTTAAACAAATGGTCTAGTGTTTGATCCTCACCGTCCCCATCATAATTAATTAAGTTTCAGCACAGGGCATGGGTGGGCCTGGCTTGTCCATGCTACAAGTTTTTAGGTTGATTTGTTCAGAGCCTATTTTGAGCAAAGTGGTCTAGTCTTCGATCCCAATTGCCCCCACTATAAATAACTACATTTCAGAACAAGATATGGATGGGCCTGTGCTTGTCCATGCTTTATGCCCGATGGGATTTTGCATGAGGCATGTTAGAGAATAAATACTTATTCAGGTACCTCACCTAACAGCTTAAGATTTATGTTGAATGATTCCTTGAAATGGTATCAGAGCCTATTTAACCAAATGTTCTAGTGTATGATCCTCACCTATTTAACCAAATGGTTCCTTGAGATGGTGTTAGAGCCTATTTAACCAAATGTTCTAGTGTATGTTCTATTGTTCAACCTAAAAGCTTAAGCTGTTAGGTGATATGTCCCGGAATAGGTTCTTATTCTCTAACACACCCCCTCACATGAAAGCCCAATGGGCTTGAAGTGTGGACAAGCACAAGCCACCCATACCTTGTGCTGAAACTTAATTAATTATAGTGAGGATGATGAGGATTGAACATTAGACCATTTGATCAAACAGGCACTGGCACCACCTCAAAGAACTAATTTACCTAAAAGCTTAAGCTGTTAGGTGAGGTCTCTGAACAGGTTTTTATTCTCTAACATTATGTTAGCTTGGAATTGATGGAAGAAAAGAAATCATGAAGATCAAGAACAAGCCTGATCTGTGGAAGATTTGGTTAAAATATTAGTCTCTATCCTATTCTATGATTCTATGACCCATCTATCTTTTAGAAGGAACCATTTGCACTGGGACTTGCCCCTTTCATATGCTATGCAATCCACATTGCTTATCAAGAAAAGTCAACAACTGCTCCACCAGGACCAGGGTTGTGCACTTTAACTGTTATTTTTCATTCAAACCATGCATCAATGCCATATGAACCCTATTTTTTCATCTGTCTCGGTCTTTGTACTATCTGAACAGCCTGTTTGAGCTGATTTATCTAAGCTCTAAACCCTCGCTAGTAAACCAACAACTTTAGGAACTAATCTCTATCAATTCAAGACCATAAGCCTAGACCAAGCAATAATTTATTTATCTATTTGCTTACTACTAGATCAAATCCATGTTTGGTTTACAAGGTATTCCCACCTTTTTTAGTTTCCAGGGACCCCAATAAAGTCTAAAAAGTCAATTTATTGCCTATGTGATAATCCATCCTAATGTTTGTAGTTTTACCATACACCAGTTAACCCTGTATGCCCTGTTAATCTTGCACACTTTGCACAACAGACTCCTACTCCCAATCTTTCTAACAAAATAGGGGAGTTTCTACAATAATTTTGCACCAAACGCCTTGCACATGCATACAAGCCTAAAACATAGGAATTGCAGACATTCAAATGAGACAAACAAGACTCAGACTGGATATAAAACTGGTTTTGTCATTGGTGTTCAACCATTTAACTCTCTCAAATAAAAGTACAAAAAAAAGAAAAAATAGCAAATAGTTCTAGATTATCTTTTAAAGCTACATTATATTAAAACAAGCCTAAAACATTAAATATTACAGCTTATTAGAGATTCTTAACATAAGTATTCTGTCTGACAACACTGCTTATTAGAGTATATAAAATCACTTCTATAAACAATTAATATAGGATAATATAAAGGGTAAATTGTAACTTCCCCTGGGATTTTGTTCAAATAATCTACTTAGGTTTTCCTAATAACTCATATTGCTTGGACCATGAAACTACAGGGGGGTTGTTTATGGAAGCAAGAATAAAGACATAAATAGTTATTTTACTAAAATGCCTTTAACAAGAAAGTGTTAGTTTTGCTTCCAAAATATGTATCTTTAAATTGATAAAACTACCCTCATTTGTAAAACATTAAATAAGATCTTAAAATCTCAATTTTTTATTCTACTTTATTCTTCTCCTTAACCTGTTTTTAAATTTTCATTCCCACCTGAATATTATGGAAGAAAAAAAAATTGTACCTTCAAGAAGCTTAATAAGGGCATTTTTGTCCATATAATATACAAAAATATGCCAAAAAAGGGAGAATGGACTTTGAAATGTTTTAAATATCATGCACCTTCCCCACATTAAAACTCAAGGCTCAGTTTGGAAGGAGCACAAAACCTTGTATTTTGTATGCATTTGTAATGTACATATTTTTATTTTTACTCTTTTCAAATTGAGCATATGAGTAAAAATACAAATATGTACAGTACAAATGCATACAAAAGAATAGATTTGTACTCTACATATTTGTATTTGCACTCCTTCCAAACTGAGCCTTGGAAGGGGTACAAATACAAATATGTAGAGTGCAAAACCTAGTATTTTGTATCTGTTTGTACTGAACATATTTGTATTTGTACTCTTTTGAAAATGAGCCGAAGGGGTAAGTTGATAAGTACACCAGAGAGAGGTATAAGTAATTTAACCATATAAAAAAAGCTAGTAAAGATGGGTATAATGCAAAACTGAGTGGTGAAATCATGCAGAAAGAATTACCAAGGGTGTCATAAAGAGGCACACAAATTAGACTGTGAGCATTACATGCCTGCACAAGAAACAAACTATTTAGACATGGCATATCCAGAAAAAAAAAAAAAAAAAAAAAACAGACTAATGCATATTAATAAAAAAAATTGTCAACCATACAGACCTCCATTGCCACAATCCATTGAGGACAGTTTGAACCATATATTCCAATCCGGGAACCCTTTCACAAAACAAAATCAATGAATTGACTCTTGAGTATGACCATTAAAGGGTGAGGAAAATCAATTTTCTACCTGGAGGTTCCATTTTAGTGTACCTCCAATCACAAGGGTCTTAGATGATATAAATGCTTACAGGTTCAGCACCAGATGTCCGCAATGCAGAACCAATATTGAAAACCTCTTCATATACTTCCTTATAAGTTTTCCACACATAGGGCCCTAGCTGAAGACCAAATAAATTCATTGAACATTTAGAAAATAAAAGCAAAAGAACAGAACAAAAGAAAAAGAAATGAGCAACATCTCAGGGTTAAATAGTCTGAAGTTTTCTGAAAAATTGTGTAGCTTAAACAGGACTTACCTTCCCATTTTTGAACTCACGCCACCCAAGCATATTATTTCCAGGATATTTCTCTACAGAATTCCTGCAAAATAGGACCATGTTGTTGCTAAATAAACCCACTACAGGAGAATTGTTCATCATTGATCTAAAATTAAAGAATAAAACATAATGATAACAAAGATGCCTTGAAATTCTCAACAAAAACTTTTTTCTTCCAAATCTGCATTCTAGTTTTCTCAATGTGTCAGCAGTTAATCACTACTCTCTTAGTGCAAGTAATCAAATATGAAAAAGTCAAACTTTGGTGTGAGTTCTTCAGCTACTTCATCAGTAAGTATTAAGTAGGAATCAGAATACTAGACAGAATGATATATGTGTATCTTTCAATAATACCTGAAAATATCCCATGTATTACTCATGTCATAATCCGGTGGAAAGCCATTCTTGGATAGTAGATTCCTATACACCGGGCCAACTGACGGCATGCCATATCGTCCTTCCCTTCCATTCTCCACCTGAGCAGCAAGAACTGATGGCAAACCATCTTGCCCTAGCTTTACTTTCTTTACCTCCGCTGAAAAAGCCTTCATCCTCCTCGATTGCGGACCCTGAACAGCCCAACACCAATACACCACGGCAGGGACCCTTAAGAAAGAAGTAAATAAACAGTGACTAGACACAAAAGAAATGAAGAAATAAGAAGAAAAATCAAATAGTATAGCCATGATAAAACGTCAATTAAAAGAAATGTTATAAACGAGACGTCCTAAAAACAGTCAAACTTGGGAACTTAGACAGTGATAGCATACAGAAACTGAGAAAAGAACAGATTAAACACGAAAAGGCAGGGAAATTAAAATAAATATAGTAAATATATGAACTAAGACCCCCCCCCCCCTTGAAACTAGAAGCTTAACTCATCGTGCGTGAGACTAATCGTTTAATAAAAAAACAGGGAAGAAATAGTAAACATGGATATATTTGGTTTCACATCAAACACCTCTGAGCAAGACCACTGTTTGAGAAAAGTCCATGGAAACAGGTGGAACTATACAAATTTCTAACAACTCGGACGTAAGTCCGACAACAGACATATCACCATCACTGAAAGTCTGAAACAGCCGTAACTAAGTTAAGATTGTCGCAAACAAACGAGCAAAAACCAACTAGCAGAAGACACGAGATCGGATAACCGCTGAAATTACCATTGAAAGACATACGCATAGAGACACAGTATTCACCCCAACGATATCAGAGCGTGAAAATAGGAAGAAGAAGAAGAAAGAAAGAAAGAAAGAAAGAAAGAAAGAAAGAAAGAAAGAAAATGACTTACAGAAAAGAGCAACCCTGAAGTCATACGATGTGTGCGTTCGGCTACGGCTAGGTGGTTCGAATTTATAGAACGAAGTCGTCGGTATTGTTAATATGGTAGTTGAAACAGGTGACTGAATACTCATTTCCATTGCTCTTCATTCAAAAGCGATTGCAGACGTTAATCCACCCTCAGACGGAGGAGGTAAGTTGCAAATTACAACTGAGCGAGCACGAGCAGAGTTGTCGTTCATCAATAATTCTATAAATAAACTTTCGAATGTCAAAACTCAAAAGAGATAGATACGTATTTATTACACTGTTAAGTCTGGGAGGAAAATAAAAATTCAGAACAAGAGAAAGCATATAAGCAACTTGCCAACTTACAGGACCGAGCAGAGTGCTCGCGCCATGTCGGTCAATGACCTTAGGTCCATAACTACTGTGAGTTCAGATGTTTGACGATGCTGAAATCTCTCTATCGACCAGCCATTCTTGAATTCATTGACGGGGCAAAACGGTGAATAGAATAAAGAAATCAATCAATGTAGTAATGTACCCATGTTTGCCGCTTAGGAGTATCTTAAATTCACGAACAATGCACTGACTCCGTATCTGCTACCCAAAACAAAGTGCAACCGTGCATTGGGAACATCTCTCCTACGTCAACACGGGAGATGTTCATGATTTGGGGCTGTAATCTCTTCTCGGTAGCCGGTAGGTGTGGGCCGGTGCAAACATAAAGCTGCGTTTGTTTGCCGTGTAATTAAACACTCCGATCCAGTTTTATCAGTGTTTGGATGGAGTGTTTTTTTTAGAAAGACGGAGTGTATTCTATTTAAACATCGAAAATTGATGTAAAAACAATGTATGAGGTAAAATGTAACTTTGACAAAAACAATGTATGAGGTATCATGCCTAAACACGTCAACCCATTGAATCCCTTGCTTGTGTATTTGCTCGAAAGAATATTGAGTATAATTACCTTTTTACCCCACCTATGATAATGTATGGTGTATCGTGCCTAATAAGTGATAACGTTCAACAGCCAAAATTTTCCCTTGCGATGCGGCTTTGGCCCCACAGGACTGGGGTGCCATACGAGGTACATGGGTTATCAATGAACATGGGAGAATACACGTGTGGGCCCATTGACATTCACTACACTAATGAGAGGTGAAGTCGATAGGAGAATACACGTGTGGACCCAATATGGGTTTTAAATCTGACGCGGGATCTCCTGCCCACATCTATTTAGAGATCCAGACTCTCTAAATCTTGCTTTGGAATCAAACATTTGTTATTGGAAGGAAATCCAAACTTGCCAAAGAACAGGTTCATTAGTGGAAACCAGATCTACTCCTCGCACAGGGGCGCCTTACAACGACCTCACAGATACATCCTACCGTGCATATCTCCATTGGGAACATCTCCCGTAAATAATAACATATAAGTATGGGAAATATTCCCAATGCACAGTGGGATGTACTTATGAGGTCGATGTGAGGCACCATGTGTGAGGAGCAGATCCGATCTCCACTAATGAACCTGTTCTTTGGCAAGTTCGGATTTCCTCCCAACAACAAATGTTTGATTCCAAGGCAAGATTTAGAACCCATATTGGGTCAATTCTTGGTTTTTAGAAGGAGTCCAAATCACCTACCAACAAAACACGTTCCAACCCTATACCAACATAATCTCACACCGCACATCTCATACATGGCAAGTCTTAGTGGTGTGAGATCACGTTGATAGAGGGTTGGAACGTGTTTTCTTGGTTATAGGGTCATTATGATTCTAGAGTCTATCCATGGAACCTATATTCTTTCTTTAGGCCCCCTAAAAAAAATATTATCCGTTCCTTTAAAAACTTGATTTTTAATAATAATAAAGCTCATAATTTATATATAATTTAATATATAAATCATCATAATATATTAATATATAGTTTAAAACTTATCATTATACTTTAAATTTTGTAAATATTACATTATACATTATCTATTATACACAAATATTAAATTGAAGAAAAATGACCAAAACACTTGAGTAATTTAATGGTTAAGTGAGACCTTAGTGTTTTATAAGCATGAGTGCTTGGGTTCAAATTTGTACATTATCAAAGTATTTGGGGATTTTTTTGAAAGCAAGTTCAATTCCACCAAGGTCAACCAAGGCTGGGTTTTCAAATGAGTTCAGTATAGGATAAACCCTAGACCTAAAAACTAGCCTTTGAACCAAACCCCTACCCAATAACAAATTGGGTAGAGTCCATTCAAGACTAGTTTGAGGTTGGTTCCATTCAGTTCTAGGTAGAACCTATCCATTTGCTCACCATGGTGGGTCCAGTCTTACGGTAAGATGTGTAAACACAAATCATGTTAGAGGCATGTTGGGATAGTTTTTGTTAGAGGAGATCGAATGACAAGGGAGATGTTCCCAAAGTGCAACTACAGCGACTTTGTTGAGAGTGTTTTATCAACAATAAATCCCTACCACGAAATTCCCAAGGAGGGGAGAGTATGGATGTGTTCATATTGGCGCCCCACAAGCGCTCGACATGCACATCTCAGTGTGCATTGGGAACATCTCCCATAATTATCATAGGGAGATGTTCTCAATACACAATTGAGATATAGAATTGGCACACTCTGTGAGGTACAGATGCAAATTCAGTGTGAATCACTTCCCAACAAAATACCTTCCAACACCCTCCCAAATGATGGACACTGCACATCTCATACATGAGGGGTCCCAATTTTATAATGAGCCCCAGTTTCACGATGAGATGCATGTGCAGCGTAATGTCATGCAGTGTTTAGTTGGACCCATCCATAACGATAAGTGTATGTACCATCATGTTAAATTGTCTAGCTATTAAGAATTTGCTACGGCCACCATGAGGCGTATGCCATTCTTATCGTACTGTGTACAAGGCCATTGATCTTTAATGACTTTACTTAACGCTTTATATGGACATTTCATTTTCTGAAAGATGAACCTGACTGTGAGCTGGGATCTATCAAGAGTCAGCATTCAAAGAGATTGCGGTGTTTGGCATCCAGGCACCATGTAGGCGTTACACCAGAAAAAAACAGTATTTCAGAAAACGGCCTCTTATTCGGTATTGTTTTTTCAGAAAAATATTACTTCAGACTACGTTTTATAAATTAGGAAAGTGTGATCTAAATAAACACCAAATTTAATATTTTTCCAAAAAACAGTCTGTTGCTACCAGTGGTGTAATGATGTGGTATCATTTTGGACATTAAATTATATAGATTAGTACTAATACCAAATAAAACCTGTGTTACTTTTCCAGAAAACAGCCTATGTGGTAACATGGATGCCAACAAAAAAAAGAATTATTTTCTAAGAAAACGATGCAATAGATCCTCATGCATACAACACCATTTTCTCAAAAAACAACTCTAAAGCAAGGGCATTGATGCAAAACACTTACAAGATGAATAGATTCATCGTTTTCATTTTGAATAGAAAACAACTTTTCTTCCCCCCGACATGATTTGACACTGTACATCTCATATATGTCAGATCCTATTTTTATACCAAATCCCAGTTTCATATGATGAGATATGCGGTGTTAGATAAAGTTGATAAGGGGTTGGAATGTGTTCTTTTGGCATGTGATCCCAACTTTATGTGGGAAACAGGAAAAGAAAGACGAAGGAACATGAAAAAAGAATACTATATGCTTTTGGGTATCATAGTCAACCCTTTTCATAAGAGAGGTGGGATCAGTGCTCAAGTTGAAAATGACGAGGGAAAATCTATGCTGCCGGTTCGGAAAAAACATGATACCCAAAGAGCTCTGATCAATCACAGTGAAATTTGATAAATAGCACCACCTCGTTGCTTATTATTTTTATGATACCCACTGATTTGGTTAAAATTTTTTATGATATTACACCTTTCATGTATCATAGTTAGACTTGTAACGTGTATGTTAGGCTGCATTTGAAAGCAGTTTTAAACACGGTTTGATGTAATTTTACACTCTGGTTCAATTTTACAGCTATTTGGTTAGAGTGTAAAATAAAAATGAATATTGATGTAAATAAGCTTTTTGATAATTTTTTACATCTCGAAGTGAAAAATACATCGAAAAAACTGATCTAAAAACATCTTCTTGTCTCTCCATCGGTGTAAAAGTAGTTCTCCCAGTAATATTTATCTTCCTGTGTCGCTGCTTCTCCGTTGAGTGTGATTCTCTCTCTCTCTCCAAGAACAACTGATGTGGCAGCCACGATGACCTCGGACATCTGATTGTGATCATGATCATGACCTTAGTCGGTCAGCGACCATCATGATGTGATGTCCAGAATTCCGAGATGGAATCAATCGGTTGGCGGTGAAAACCCAGACATGTCTTGGACAAGAGAGAAGCTTCTGCAACTACATGGTTTGGAGTAGTGGCAAAAAAGCTCCAGTTTTCGATCCCAAAACCAGTCTCAGTCTGTAAGCCTAAATCCTACGAAGCTCTTGTCACATGTGCAGCATATTTCGATCCCAATTTGATTTGTCGTGGGTTTTCCTATTACCAGATTTAGTCTAGAAATCCTACAAAACTCTTGTTATTTCTCATGTTTTCTCTTTTAATTTCTTGTAAATATTTAATACTGATTCATCATAGAAAAATAGGGGTTCTTGTTCTACAATGAAAACAAAAGCATTTATCTCAGCTGAAACTTTTTAGGCTTTTGAACATCATGCTCAATGTTGGAAATCGAAAAAAAAAAAAAAGAGAGGGATTGAGCAATTGAAGACTTAAGCAACACTACCTTTTACTTTGATCATCCAAACACACAAGCTTGTGTATAAGGATTATAAAACTGGTTTGCTTTTTACACTCAGAAATCTGACCATTGTAAAATTCCATCGGTGTAATTTTGCATTTACACCGCAAATAAACGCAGCCTTAGAAACACAAAAAAAAAAAGGAAAGACTTGTACCATGCATGATGCATGGGCCTGTTTTTTGTACTAAATGCATGGGCTGGTGATGTCCATGTTTTTTCTTAACTGAATTCATTGTGGATAAATAGTGAATACAACTCCAATTAATTTTTTGGGTTTTATGGATGCTTCACCAATTTTGTATAGAACTATAAATCATACCAGAAAAATTAAAGTGAGAAAACTCTATCGGTGTAATTTTGCATTTACATCGCAAATAAATGCAGCCTTAGAAACAAAAAAAAAAGGAAAGACTTGTACCATGCATGGGCCTGTTTTTTGTAC